CTCCTCCTCCTCCTCCTCCTCCTCCTCCTCCTCCTCCTCCTCCTCCTCCTCCTCCTCCTCTTCCTCCTCCTCGAGCCGCACAGGAGCACTGTGCCGTTCTCCACTCCCACCCTGCCCCGTTGCAGTCTCCCTTGCTTGCGCGGCCTCGCGCGGGCGAGCTTGGCCACGCCGAGCCCACCGGCGCGCATCTCATCCCACTGTCGGACGGGGCTAGGATCGTGACGATGGAAATGGGTGCGCACAGAATGGGTACGCTGCCCAACAACAATTCCTGCTCATTTTGAACAGGACTCGCTGTCCGAATAGGACGAGGATAAATCAATTCCAGAGCGTTCCAGAACGCTCTCAGAGCATGCTGGAACGTTCTGAGAAGGCCGCGGCGCCCGATACATCCTCCAGAGCCGCAGGATCGCAGATATTCTGGATTGAAAGGCCTTGCGGCCAGTGCCGCCGACCCTGAAGACGACGACGACGACGGCGAGGACGACGGGGAGGATGAGGGGAAGGAGCAGCAGGAGGCGGAGGACGCGTTGGAGCAGCAGGAGAGGGAGCAGGAGGAAGAGGAATAACAATAATAGGACTAGTCACAGGAATAATAATAATACGATTAGTAATGATGATGATAATATTAATAATAAGAAGAAACATAATAAAAATAATAAAAAAATAAGAAATTCAACAATAAACATACATTGAAAACTAAGAGTAATACTCATAAGAAACAAAAGAAGAGGGCCATAACGGAACGGACCGTAACGGCACGATTGCGATCCTGAGCATTGCTTCCTATGTGGTAGCCCTTGGCTACTTTAGCTAGAACAACATCGAAGGATCTTCAAATAGCCGCGGTGCTGCGACCTGCAGCCTCGCTGGGGGGAATATGTCAGAGCGGAAACGGCCCAGGACGGCCAGCAAGAGCAGTATCCCCCCAGCTGTAGGAGGAGGAGGAGGAGGAGGAGGAGGAGGAGGAGGAGGAGGAGGAGGAGAGGAGGAGGAGGAGGAGGAGGAGGAGGAGGAGAGGGAGGAGAGAGGAGGAGGAGGAGGAGAAGGAGGAGGAGGAGGAGGAGGAGGAGGAGGAGGAGGAGGAGGAGGAGGAGGAGGAGGGGGGAGAAGGAGGAGGAGGAGGAGGAGGAGGAGGAGGAAGAGGAGGAAGAGAGGGAGGAGGATGATCACATGGATTACAACCGTGCCCTAGCGATATCAGATTCTACAACGCCACTCCTGACCTCCACAGGAGCCGTGACATCAAAGTATGGCGACGTCTCTCAATGGCGGTGGAAACCGAGCAAGAGGACGAGGCGGAGGAGGAGAAAATTACCGTCCGCCATGTCGTCTCCCATTTTTCCTCCTCCCCTTCTTCAGGCTTGCCTCGGGACCACGTGACAGGTGACATCTTCCACCTCTGCCCCTGACATTCACGTCTGGGGTGGATGGGGCTAACGAGGGCGCCAGCTGTTTCAGCAGCCCGCCCGAAGCTCGAAGGCTCGACGGAGGCGAGGTCAGGACAGCCTCGAGAGGCAAGCCTTAGGTCGGGCACGTCCTCCTAAAGGCCGATTTCGGAGGAAAAATTCAACGTAGGCAAAAATACTCAAAAGTAATCAGAAACAGTCCAAGAATCGTTCCCAGACTATCTTTGGACTGTTTGGGGATATTCCAGCTGTAGAGCGACACGCCCGACTTAAGGCAAGCCTCGCAGGCTCTCTGCTGCGGCCCTCCTCGCCCCGCGGCAAGACGGCCCGCCGCCGCCCAGTGGGGCGGACCGGCCGCGGGGGGCCAGCTCAGTGCAGCCGGTCAGCGAGGCCAGCTGGGCCTGCAGCGAAGAGCGACGACCAAGCGCAGGGGCTCGAGCCAAGCAGCGTGTTCCGTCCTCGCTGCGTCTTCCTTGTTCCCCCGTTCTGCCTTCGCTCCGTCCTCATTGAGCGGCAAAACGGAGAATCAAGCCGAAGACGGTCCGCGAAATCGCGACAACACCGTTCGGCTCGCGCCCTGACCGAGCGACCGCGGACGGCGGAACGACGGCGACGACCCACGGCTCTTGGGCGGCTCTTCGGCCCTTCGGCGCCGTCGCGGAGGTCGGCGGGAGCGTCATGGTCGTCGTCTTCCTGCATCACTGCCGCTGTTGATGCTGCTGCTGCTGCTCTTCCTCATTTCCCTTTCCCTCCTCCTCCTCCTCCTCCTCCTCCTCGCCTCCACTTCCTCTTCTTCCTCTTCTTCTTCTTCTACTTATTATTCCTCCTCTTCCATCTAACCTTCCCTCCGGCGAAGGGTCACTCTTACGTGTAGTCGATCCTTTCTCATCGTCGAGGCGGAGCAGCACCGAACCTGCCCGAGAGCTCGATCGATCGATCCTTCCTCATCCGCAGTCTCCTTTTGTTATACAGTAGGAGCCCGACCACAAGAAGCCTTCCACAAGAAACCTAACCCCGAGACCGAGACCCCAGGACGTCCCTTGACTGTGTGGTGTGGGAACGCCACGCTCTCCATCGCAAAACCGTAGAAACCCAAGACACCCAGGGCACCCTGGAGGCAAGCAGGGCGTTTCTTGGCATGGGCCTCTGCTGTAAGCTCGATCCTTCCTCATCCGCGATCCCATTCTCTTACACAAGCAACTCCTCCCAAAACAAACAGGGCACCCAGGAGGCAAGCAGGAGGTCTCTTGGCATGGGCCTCCACCGTAAGCTCGACTCTTCTTCATCCGCGATCCCATGCTCTTGTGTAAGCAGCTCCCCCCTGTCGCACCGCCAGACGAGCGTACGCAGGCTGGCCTGGGCGCTTCGCTCTTGAGACTCTCGCTCGGAGCTGTTCAACGCTCCAGCGACTGCACCGATGGAGGCTGGGTCCAAGTCCACACGGGGCTCTCGCATTCTGTGGCTCCAATCGTACTTCAGGGCCACGTCCCCCCCAATAATTTCGAGCGCCCAGAACGCTGGCGAGGCGCTGGCGCAGTGTCGAACGAGCATCACCTCCCAGAACCCAGCGCGCGAAGTCTTTTCCGGGGACATCGCCCTTCAAGGCCCTCCAGGTTCGGCTCTCTGGGTGCTCGGAATTCTTTCTGGTGGTCAAGGCTAAAGTAGGTTGGAACATCATAGCTCTCGCGTTGGCGCCGCGCACCTTCGCATTAAAGGCTTGCAGCAACTCCAAGGGTGGACGCCGATGCGCCTTCAAACTGGGGCTCCTCTTGTCTGAGACTGTCTGACACGCGTGGCCACACGTGTAACGTTGCGCAACAGTTAGGCGGATTGATGACGGGCGGGTTCTTTCCAAAATGGGGCTATTGACTCAGCGCCGCGCAACATCTGGTTAAAAGCATGCATCAGCTACATGGATGGAGGGCAGATCCTTCAAAATGGGGCTCTCTCGACTCAGCGTCGTGCACAGTCGCCTTGCAACATGCGACACCTACAAGTGTGGAGGGCGGTCCGTTGTCTAGATGGGGGGCCGCTCTCGCCCTAGCGCTGCACGCATTCGTCTTAAAACCTTGAAGCAGCTGCACAGATGGAAGGCGGCTCGTTTTCAAATGGCTCCCTCTCCTGTAAGGCCCTCAGCGCCGCGCACAGTCGTCTTGAACTGTAGCAAAAGCCTTCAGTGAGTAAGGGCTGCTCCTTTTCCATGGGATGAGGGAAGTAGGGGGGGAATAGGAGGGGGAAGGGAACAGGAAATGAAAAACGACATAGGATGCACCCATACATTTACGTGGCATCACTCCGCACTCCGGGAAACAGCGCGCTTGCTACGTCCTGGGGGTGCGCGATGCTCTCGCATCTCAGTGTGCAACTGCTGCATGTCGCCTGTAAAGCTCATGCGAAGCGCTGCTGTGCCTTCCCGCGACGCGGCGTGCGTCGTCCGTGGCCGCTCTGCGATTCCTGGGCTCCCGCGAGCGGTCCAGCGGAGTGCTTGCAAGCAGGCCCGAAGACGGGAGGGGCGCGCCCAGCGTTTTCAGCACGATGCCCGTGCCCATCTTGTGTTAAGCCTGGCGCAGCTGATCTCCCTGGTCGTCAGCGGCTGGATCTCCTCCTCCCCCTCCCCCTCGTCCCCCTCGTCCTCCTCGTCCTCCTCGTCCTCCACGTCCTCCTCGTCCTCCTCGTCCTCCTCGTCCTCCTCGTCCTCCTCGTCCTCCTCGTCCTCCTCGTCCTCCTCCTCCTCGTCCTCCTCGTCCTCCTCGTCCTCCTCGTCCTCCTCGTCCTCTCGTCCTCCTCCTCTCCTCCTCCTCCTCCTCCTCCTCCTCCTCCTCCTCCTCCTCCTCCTCCTCCTCCTCCTCCTCCTCCTCCTCCTCCTCCTCCTCCTCTCCGCTAGCGATGAGAGCATCCTTCATCACGCGTCTCATTTGATACCGTTCCTATCTTCCGTTGAGGGCACGCTGGCCGTAGCCCTCCTCGCCTCAAAGAGGGGACGGGGAGACGGAGCGGTTGAGGAGCGGAGGGGAGGAGAGGGAGAGGACCAGGAGGGGATGGGGAGAGGAGGGAAGAGGCGAGGGGAGACGAGGGGATGGGAGCGGTGATGAGATGGCGAGGGGGCGGGAAGAGGGAAGGGACGGGGTTCGAACGCGGCAGCTACACGCCACCGCCATCCCTGTACGGCCAGGGATGGTGGCTGTATGTAGCTGTGTCCTGCTGAGAGAACGGGAAGTGAAAAGGGATGGGAGGCGCCACGACCTTTCACAACGGCGGTGGTGGAATGCCCGGCGCAAGGACCTCGGGCATCTATTTTTGTTCCGGCGATGTCCCAGGCGCTCGACTTAAGTGCCTGGCTCCACCCTACACGATCGACGTAGAGCAAGGCCCAACACCTGCAACCGCAGATGAATTGACAGGTCCCTCTCTTCCGTCCCGTCTTGAGCTCATCTTGTCATGTCACAGCCTTTCTTTCAAACCCATCTCCAATCCTGGAGTCTTATCTGCTCGCATCGGGAAAAATCTGCCTGGAGACGGCACACAACAAACATCGCTTCCCTGAAAACTCGCCCCGAAGCGGGGAGGACACGGGAAACATGAGTGCAAAACCGTGCGAGAAGAAACTTAGCCTGCACGGCAGAAGAACACCCTTGCCGCAGGTGTGCTCCATTATCCCTTCGTGATATTTATGGTTAGCCCCGTATCTCTGACATAGCATGACATAGCGACGACGCATATTGCGAGCTCACATAGACAGATGGTGCCTAGCAACACCTTCGGGCACGGTCACATTGCCCGCTCGCCCTTGAAAATCCTGCTGCGCACCGCTGCACAGGAAACACGTGTAGTGGCTAATTGGCGAAAAGAGAAGAGCATGATGTTATGATGGAAATGAGGGGGGAAGCCACCCGCATCGATAGGAGGCAGGCTGCCAAAAGATAAATTAGCCAATCGGTAGCAGCTGAGAGAGCTGCTTGTGAGTGGTTTCGTCCTTCAAACTGGCGGAGCGAATGGCGCAAGGACCGCCGCCTGGACTCACCACTGAGACTGGTGCCAACCTCACGTCGAGCAGACAACGGCCAGTCCGCAGATGCAGAAAATGTGCATTCCCACTTGTCTGAATGGGAATGCCCTTGCAGTTGCCTTCCGAACGGGCGGTGAAGGGCCATGAGACTGTATCCCCTGAACAGGGTGGTTGGGAGCTCCGCTCACCGTTTTCTCATCTCCTTCACCACGAAACTGCCGAAATTACTGCTCGTCAGGCTTGCTAGCTCCTCTTGGCGGCGAGCGCGGGGGGGAAGTGAGAAGGGGCGGGCCTTCTCAGAAGGCTCGGAAGTCCCATGGCCTTCCGAGAACTTGTCCAAGCCTTCCCCGAAGATACAGAAAACTTCCGAGAAGGCGCGAGGGTTTCCAAGAAGTCCCGCCTTCTGAGAAGGCCTTCTCCTTTCGGGACCCACCGAAGGGGGGGGACCCTGAAGGGGGGGTGAGTTCGATCCGTTCGTGCATCGAATTTCCGAAAAACGATGCCCCCCACGCGCCCCGATTGTCGACGCCTCTCGGGGTCCGGCGGCGGCCAAAGACCTCGTTTTGCATAGTTTTTGTTGCGGCTCGATGCGCCAACGGACCGAACTCCCCGCCCCTCCTGTGGCCCCCCCCTTTGCGAGGCCCCGCCGCCTTCCGAGAAGGCCTTCTCCTTCTCATTTCCCAAGGGCTCCCAACTTCGCGCTTCGCGCTGCGCGAAGCGCGAAGTGCGAATCACTTCGCGCTCTCGCGCCGCCTCCCAGGGGAGAAGAGGAGGCTGAGGAGGAATCGGAGCCGAACCGCGAAGCGCGAAGCGCGAATCACTTCGCGCCCTCGAGGGCGCCCTTGTCTCCCCCCCTCGCTCACCGCCGATCCTCGGTGTCCCCGGCCATGGCCAGCTTCATGGCCTGCCTGTCCTCCTCGCAGCAGTGCAGCAGCGCGCTCTCGACGCAGTGGCTCGCGCTCTTGTGACGAGCCTGGGGGCAGCCCAGACCACGTTGATGGTGAGATTCGCATCCCCCCTCAAGAAAGTCGGTTTTCCACCGCCTCCCGGCGCCGGCAGGCGCCCATGTATCGAGGAATGGGCCCGGCGGCGGGGCCGAAACCAGCTGCATGCAGCAGATTTCGTAGCTCCCCCTTTCCCTATCCCCCCCACCAAAAGAAAGGCTATGGGGGGGCGAGGGCCCGCGCCGATCGGCAAAACAATGAATAATCAAGCGATCACTATGGGGAAGGCAGGGGAGGAGCGTCAACGATGATTCAGGATCGTTCTTTTGTCTGCTTGAGCATGCCTCCCCCCTTAGCAGAGCTTGTCTGCAGGTCTCGTAATGAATGAACAGCTGATGCTTCGACGGTGTCCCGTACGGTCTCCCTGGGGGATCCGGGCGTTGCCGGCCACGGCATTGGCAACCTGCTGGTCTACCGTCTGGTCTCCCACATCCTCTCCCCAGACGGTCTCCCGTACGACCTCCTCGCATGTGGTCTCCCGTCTGGCCTCCCGCACGGCCCCCCGGGTGGACTCTCAAGCCAGAATGTATCGATACCGCTACTCCCCGGACCCCCCCCCCAGGGCGCATTCTGACCAGGACTCCGAGTATGGCGAGGGGCAACGATAGGGGGGACTGGCATAGGGGGGGATGCATCGACCTGGAATCGGCGATACATCGCCGATAGATCGGCGACAGGCCTCCGATTGTCAATCCGCAACTTCCTGGGCAGATTGGGGCTATCGGGCCCCTATCGGCGATCAATGGGCGATTGGGGGTCGATGCACCCCCCCCTATGTCTCATTGTACTGGCCTTGCAGACGTGCTGCAGCGGATTTCTGCGTGGATTTCTGCCCGAAGCGGCGAGCGAATAATGAAGTTCATTTCGCGTGGTTTCTTTTGAATCATCATTCCTGGCCAAAAAGGATCCGCGCGAAACTCACTTCGAAATCCGAATCCGGAACGACATTATCCAGGATCACCAGGACCCATCCCGTGGTTTTCCGACCGAATTCCGCTCTGCGATGTGGGCGCCATGATACAGGATCCCGCCTGACCTAAGGAACGATACATAAGGAACGAATCCTATTTTTGCAAGTAAGTCTACGAAAATCGAAGGGCCCAACCCCTTTCTAGCGGCGTTCAGCAACGATTTGCTTTTGCGATTCGACCCCCGCCCCTTCCGCCAAACTACCAAGGAACGCCCGCCCCCTCCTCCCCCGCCGCTCCAACCGCGCATGCAGAAGCGCGGCCGGTCCCCCCTCTCGTTGCCCCTGATGTGGCCTTCCAGAGCTCAACAAGCGCTCCCAACTTCGCGCTTCGCGCTGCGTGAGGCGCGAAGTGCGAATCACTTCGCGCTCTCGCGCCGCCTCCCAGGGGAGGAGAGGAGGCCGAGGAGGAATCGGAGCCGAACCGCGAAGCGCGAATCACTTCGCGCCCTCGAGGGCGCCCTTGGTTCGAGCCTCCGGCGGCCTCCGCAGGCCTCCTCCGCCCGACCGCCAGGGCCGCCCCGAGCCTGCGCGTGGCCGCGCCGCCCGCCAGGCGGCGCGGCGCGGCCACGACACCTCCGCGCCCCTGCGCGGCCCCCCCCCCCCTTGGGAGGAGGGGAGGGGGGGAGGAGGTGGTCGTTGCAGGACGTTTCAGGATGAAGACAGCAGAAGTCTAGGATCGGATGGCGAATCCGATCGATGTGGCAAAAACAGAAGCTGCACTGCGGCTTCTGCAAATGAGAATTCTGAAGGAATCCCTGTGACTCCGCATCTCTGACCGCGCGAGGAGCCGCTCGGATCTTGGCAAGATTCTGCCGTCCCATGGGAGACGGCTCGCACTGCTTTACAAGCTGACGGGTGTCGGTGGTGCAACTCTTGCCGTATAGCGTGCAGAAGGTCAATATGTACTTACTCCAATACTGCAAAGTATGAGACTCGTGGAGCTCGTTTCCCCCCAATCCGCTGGGGACCCCGAAGTGGCGAAAACTCGAGGAGTTCATGGACACACAACGCGAATGCTCAGACGAGAACAAAACTTGGGCCAGCTTGGAGAGGGGAGGGGCCCCCTCACGGTCGGGGCGCTTCGAGGTCCACGGATCGGCGTGGATACTCGCAGCCAGAGCTCTCCGCGCCCGCCGACGGACTAAAGCGGCCTCCGCGTCCCGTCGGTCCGTGAGGGGAGAGGAGCGATGACGAATTCCGTCCAAACTCGCTCAGCCGCCTCTGCAGCTAGGGCGTCGGCACACTCATTACCGAAGGTCTGGAAAACATCCTGGCGCGAGAAGGCGACGACATTCTCCTGATGAGAAGGGGCCCGAACAGGATCGATCGTGCCAGGACCACGCCTAGCAACAGCACGCTGGATCCTGACCCAGAGGTCGAGACTTTCCCCGCTCAGGCGGCTCAGACGCGAGACATTTGGCCCCAGAGTCCAGCAGTGGCCGGTGGTCAGTGATACAGCGCAGATTACCACTATGAAGGGGCCCTAAGACACACAAATAAATACACACAAATAAAAATATTCCCCATATTTTCATATATTTTCTGTGTTTTTGTCTTCCCCCCCACTTCCCATATTTTCGCATATTTTCTGGGGAATCGCCGATTAATTGTGTCTCTGTGTTTCTTTTCCTCCTGACACTACTGGCCTCGATGGTCTCCGCGAGCGCCTCTCCGCTCTGGGCACAGGTTGCCTTCGCCCCCCCGGCGAGCGCCCGAGGCCCAAACGGCCTCCCCAAGGTAGAGGGGGCAAGGCCCACAAACTCTGTGCTAACACGCCGACGCCGAGGGGCATCGGAGAACCTCCCACACGACCCGTTCCCGAACGAGGTAACGAAACCTTCGGCGTCACGCGGGGCGGCATCAAGGGAAGCGAAAGACAACCTAACAGGTGGCTTGTCCTCGAAGCTCGGCGCCGTTTCGGCTCGGCCTGGGGCCCTTGGAAGCCAAACATTGGGGCAGACGCGGGCCTGCACGAGAAGGTGTTCGCTATCTTCAGAATCTTTGTGGCGTCGGTTGGTCTCGCAGCTCCAAATTCTGCGAAAAGACAAGATCCCCAAGCTCTTCCAAGCACCGCCGACGCGTGGCAGAGAGTCGGTCGACTGCGGATCGGGCCGCCGGATACGACCACCGCGTTCAGGGCCCAGTGGTCGCCGTCCTCGTCGGGCTCAAGCCTGCGGAACTCACGGCAGATCTGGTACACATCAGCGCCGTCTCGCAGGTCCTCGCCAGCCTCGTGGTGGTAAGCCGTGGACCACAACTGACGATCGACGGTCGGCTCGATGTCATCCCGGAGCTCAGTGAAGTCGCCACAACAGAAGGTATTAGCCAGTGCACCTCCTGATCAGGGTGCCACTCCAGGGGGCTGCGAGGGCCCCACTGCATGTCCAGCAAGGTGGCGATTGCGGCAGCGATGGGGCCTTTTCACGATCCTCCAGCGCCTCGAACCTGCAAGACGGAGGCGCTGTCGGATGCGCCCCCATGTCATCGCAATCCGGTGGTGGAGGTCGGGGCACTCGCGCTGGAGCTTCAACCGAGCCAAGATCTGCTCGCGGCGAATACTCTTCGCAGGATCTCGACGATCATATATCGCAGCAAGTGGCGCGGTCAAACACTTACCTGGCCCGACTCCAACTGCAGACTGCACCGTCTGCCTCCTGAGCTGGACCATCTCGTAACCAGGGGCGCCGAACGTCTGGCGGGAATGCGCGCCCTGAGGCTTCGCGCCCGTGGCCCCGAGCAACTTCGCAATGACTTGCAGGCGGGCACGGCGCCGCATGCGCTTGATGGCCTGGGAGCGCCTCTTCGCCTTCATGAACCGCTCGCGGACCTTCGGCCTCGTGCGACTCACTCCTGCTGCGGTGTCTGCACCGAGGTCCACGGCGCGGCGCGCTGCATCCACCGGGGCGCCAGCGCGTCGAAGGCCGACCTCGATGCGACGCGCCGAGCCCGAAGAGGGGGCCACGGCCGCCGTCTTGGGGCTGATGGCGGGCCCCGAATCAGCAAAGTCAGCGCGCAGAACTACCGGCCTGAATTAGAATGTCGCCGACGATCTTCTCCGCGCCCTCAGAGCGGACGACCGCGTTGTCGACGAAGGCGCGGAGGAGGATGCCGAGGCCATTGCGGTCGTGGGCTCTGGACAGGATCGGTCCCGAGCACGCCTTAGCCAGGCGTCCGCTCTGCAACGGGCCCGCGGCGAAGCTCTTCTGTGGCTGGATTGCCTTGCTGGAAGCCAGCCGCGCACATCAACGCAGTGAGATGCTGTCGTAGAATCTCTTCAAATCGAGAAGGATGGTGGCTGCGGATATCTGCATCTCCCTACAGGTCTCGCCCATCAGAGAACGAATCAGCGCAGCCTGGAGGGCTGGCGGGCCGCGGACGGCCGCAGCCCAGTGCTCGTCGGCCTCCGAAACCCAGAGCAGAGAATCAGAACATCGCATCTTGCTCCAGAGCTTGGCCAGGAAAGGCGTGAGGCCCGTGGCGCGGTCGCCCCCCTCTTGGCTTGGGGGCGACCGCAGAAACCACCGTGAAGACGCTCGGGCCACGTACCACTGCGCTTGATCTCCGCGAGCAAGGAGCAGCTCATCCTTGGTGAGATCAGGAAATATCTGAACCTCCGCAGGCCCTATGTTGTCGGTTTCCCCCGGCCGTCTTGCTACTCGCGGCTGCTACTGCAGAATCCGGCCTCGACCTGGGCAAAGTCGAGCGAGTCAGAATCCGCCCAGCCAAGAACAGGCGTTGAGGCCTGAGACGACCTTGTCAGGTACCATGCTTGGGCCACTCCACAGATCCCCATTAAGCAGACCAGTTGTCGGCGCGCATGTCCATGATCTCATCGGGGGTCGCGAAAACTCCGGATTCTGAAATGATCTCGCCAGGTCCGTCAGAGGCGCCTTTCGCCGGCCCAGCGGGCCAGAGGCGTGCTGGGATCTCCGGTAACTGGTTACCAATTCTCTAGTTCGCGCGCGCGGGGCGGCCCCTGGGGGCCCCCGGACGAAAAGT